AAACTGCAAAGCTTGGTAAACTTGAGTGAGGGAGAGTTGTTCTTTTTCTTTTTAGTAAGGATGGAAAAGACTTAGGCCAACTACTGGCCATTTGACTTGGAGTTAATAATCAATAATTTTGTTCTGTTTCTGATCTTGCATTTCACAGGGAGTTCAACTGAAAAAAATAAGTTGAATAAATAAGGGGGCCAATTACAGAGGCTCATGCCTTCGATATTAGCTATTTGAGAGGCAGAGATAGGATAATCATGGCTCAAGGACACTCCAGGCAAAAGTTAGGAGACTAAATGAGCTGGGGGCTCATTTCTGTAATCTCAAATACTCAGGAGGTAATCGTCAGGAGGATTAAGATTTTAGGACAGGAAGTGGCGCTGTCGCTCAAGTGGTAGAGCACTCGCCTTGAGCTGAAGAGCTGAGGGACAGTGCGCAGGCCCAGAGTTCAAGCCCCATGACCGACAAAAATAAAAAAAGATTTTAGGACAGCCTGATACCCGTGGCTCACACTTGTGATCCTAGCTACATCAGGAACCGGAAATCTGAGGATCGTGTTCAAAGCCAGCCTGGGCAGGCTGGTCAGTCTGTGAGACTCTTATCTCCAATTAACTACCAGAAAACTGGAAGTGGTGCTGTGGCTCAAGTGGTAGAGTTCTTGCTTTGAGCTGAAGAGCTCAGGGACAGCGAGACAGAACCCAGGCCCAGAGTTCAAGCCCCACAACCGACAAAAAAAAGAAAAAGAAAAAAGCTAGCACAATTCCATTTCAACAAACAAGCTGGGCAAGTTAGTATACACCTGTATAATCAGGAAGACATAAGTAGGATAAAGGTGTGAGGCCAGCTGGGGCAAAAGCATGAAAAACAAACTAAAAGAGCTGGATAATGTGACTTAAGTAGTAGAGTATTTACAAGAACTAAGCCCTGGGGCTGGGAAGGTGGCTCAGTGGTAGAGCTCTTGCCTTGTATGCATGAGGCCCTCGGTTCGATTCCTCAGCACCACATAAGCAAAAAGAAAAAAACTGGAAGTGGTGCTGTGGCTCAAGTGGTAGAGCGCTAATCTTGAGCTGAAGAGCTGAGGGACAGCGCCCAGGCCCAGAGTTCAGGCCCCACGACCTGACCCCCCCCCCAAAAAAAAGAACTAAGCCCTAGCTGGCTCTGTTAGCTCATCCCTATAATTCTAACTACAGGAGACTGAAAAG